CAGTCCCCTCTTCCCTTTACCCAGACTGACCAAAGTGTCCCTGAATAGGCCCCAGGCTCCAAAAAGCCTGCTCATGCACTAAGGACAGGTCTGGGTCCCACTGCTTGGGTGCCTCCCAAACAGTTCAAGCTCATCAATTGTCTCACTTATCCAGAGGGTCTAGTCCAGTTGGGGGCTCCTCAGCTATTGGTTCATAGTTCATGTGTTTCCACTAGTTCGGCTATTTGTCCCTGTGCTTTTTCCAATCTTGGTCTCAACAATTCTTGCTCACACAATCCCTCCTCTTTCTCACCAACTGGATTCCTGGAGCTCCACCTGGGGCCTGGCCATGGATTTCTGTATCCACTTCCATCAGTCTTTGGGTGAGTGTTCTACCATGACAGTTAGGGTGTTTGGCCATCCTATCACCAAAGTAGGTCAGTTTGGGCTTTCTCTCACCCATTGCCAGTAGTCTATTGTGGAGGTATCTTTGTGGATTTCTGGGGACCTCTCTAGCACTTTGCTTCTTCCTATTCCCATGGGGTCTTCATTTATCATGGTATCTCTTTCCTTGTTCTCCCTCTCTGTTCTTGATCCAGCTGGGATCTCCCGCTCCCCTAAGCTCTCTTTCCCTCACTGTTAGAACTCTGCCAAACTCATCTAGCCCTGGCTTTTTTGTATACTTTTAATTATTGCATCTATTTCACTAGCAGATATGGATGTGTAAAACTTGCTTTATTAGTTCTTGATTTAACTTTGGTAGGTCATATATATCAAGACATTAATCCATTTATTTTAAGTTTTCATGTTTGGTGGACTACGGACATTTAAAGTATGTCCTTATGATTCTCTTTTCTAATTTTATGAATTTGAGTCTTCTTTCTGTAGCATGTTGATATTTGCCTAAGGTTTTATCAATCTAATTTTCTCAAAGAACCAATTTATTTTTTCATCGATTCTTTGTATTGTCTTTTGTCTGTTTGTTTCAATTTTATTGATTTCAACCCTGAGTTTGATGATTTCTTGCTGTCTACTCCCTTTAGGTGTTATTTCTTCATTTTGTTTTAGAACTCTCAGTTTGTTAAGTTACTAGTATGACATATCTCAAAATTCTTTTATGTAGGCCCTTAGCTCTATTCCTCTTAGAACCACCTTCACTGTGCCCCAGAGATTTGACTTTTATCTTTTTGTTTTCATTCAGTTCTAAAAAGTTTTTAATTTCCTTCTTAATTTCTGCTGTCTTGTTTTTATTTATTAGTGAGTTGTTCAGTTTCCATGAGTTGGTATACTTTATGTTGTGGTTCATATTGAGCTTTAATCCATAATGGTCAGATAGGATACAGGATCATTACAACTATCTGTTGAAACTTCTTGTTTGCCCAAGTGTGTGATGAGTTCTAGGGAAAGTTCCATGAACTGCTGAGTAGAAAGTATGTTCTTTTGTGTCTGAGTGATATGTTCTGTAAATATCTGCAAGTACATTTGATTTATGACATCATTTAGCTCTAGCATTTCTGTAATTAGTTTTTGTCTGGATGACCTGTTTATTGTGAATGGCGAGTATTGAAGTCACTCACTATCACTGTGAAGGTAAATATGTGATTTTTGTTATAATTGTGTTTCTTTCATGAACTTGTGTGTCCTCGTGTTTGGTGCATAAATGTGTAGAATTACAACATCTTGTGGATTTTTTCCCTTTGTTCTGCATGTAATGGCCTTCCCTATCATTTCTTATTAATTTTGTTTGAATTATTTTTTGTCAGATGTTGGAGTGGCTACACCTGCTTGCTTCTTAGGTCCTCTTTCTTGGAATACATTTTTCTATCCTTTCATACTGAGGGAATGTTGATCCTTGATGTTATGGTGTTTTTCTTGGGTATAGCAAAAGATGGATCCTTGCTGTGGAATGTCATTCGGTATGCTGTGAATATGTGTTGCTCTGATTGGTTGATAAAATGCTGAATGGCCATTACCCAGGCAGGAAGTATAGGTGAGATAAGCAGACAAGGAGAATTCTGGGAAGAGGAAGGCTGAGTCAGGAGTCACCAGCCAGACATAGAGGAAGCAAGATGATAAGGCAAAACTGAGAAAAGGTATCAAGCCATGTGGCTAAATATAAATAAGAATTATTGGTTAATTTAAATGTAAGAGGTAGTCAGTAATAAGCCTGAGCTAATGGCTGAGCAGTTATAAATAATATTAAGCCTCTGTATGATTATTTTATAAAAGGTTGCAGAACTGTGGGTGAGAGATTTTTCCTGACTGTGGGCCAGGCAGGACACAGAAAATCTTCCAACTACAGATCCTGTTTTGTAATCCAATCTGATAGTCTATCTTTTTATTGGGGAATTAAGACCATTAGCATTGAAAATTATCAATAAGCATTGTTTATTGATTCCTGTTATTTTGTTGTAATGGTGTGGGTTTAACCCCGTTTTTATCTACTAGTCTGGAATTATTATTTGTGTGTGTGTGTGTGTGTGTGTGTGTGTGTGTGTGTGTGTGTGTGTGTTTCCTTTGGTGTGGTTGACGTCTTTACATTGATATTTTCCTTCTAGTACCTTCTATAGAGCTATATTTATAGATAGATCCTGTATAAATTTGGCTTTATCATGGAACTTTTTTCTTACTCTATTTGTTGTAATTGATATTTCTACTAGGCATATTAGTCTCTGCTGGCATCTGTGGTCTCATAGTTTTCAGAATATTCTTCCAGGTCCTACTAGCTTTTAGAGTCTCAATTAAGAATACAGGTATTGTTCTAATGGGTCTGATATTATATGTTATTTAGTCTTTTCCCCTTGCAGCATTTAATATTCTTGCTCTGTTCTATACATTTAGTGTTTTGATTATTATGTGTTGTGGGAAATTTCTTTTCTGGTCCAGTCTATTTTGTATTCTTTGTGCAGCTTGTACCTTGACAGTTACATCCTTCTTTAAATTGGGAAAATTTTCTTCTATGATTTTGTTAAAAATATTTGCAGCACTTTTGACCTGGGTTTTTTCCCCCTGTATTCCTATTACTCATAGATATGTTCCTTTCATAATGTCCTAGATTTCCTGGATGTTTTGTGCCTGAATTTTTTTAGATTTAACAGTTTTCTTTGACTTAGGAATTAATTTCTTCCATCTTGTCTTCAATGACTGACATTATCTCTTCTACTGTGTTGGTGAGACTTGCCTCTGAGGTTTCTGTTTTACTTCAAAATTTTAAATTTTTAATTTCCAGACTAATCTCAGTTTGGATTTTCTTTAGTGATTCTATGTTCCTATCTTGAACTGTTTTTATTATTTCTTTTCATTGTTTCTGTGTTTTCAAAAAAGTTATTATGTCATTTTTCATATCCTCTTTAGTGTCCTTAAACATATTCATAATTGCTATATTTTGATTCTTGTCTTGTGCTTCAGTTATATTTCATTTCTCAGTGTCTATTATTATAGTTTTGGAGGAGATATACTGTCTTAAGTGTTTTTTGCCCTGTGTCTAGTCATCTGGGCTTGTCTTTGTCAGGTGGGCAATCCATTCCTTGGTTTCTGTTACCATGTTTGGATCTTAGAAGAATGTGGTGATTGTGGTATAGAGTGCTTCTGTGGGTTGATATGTGGCACTGAGGAATAGACATGGACTAGACTGAGAGAGGCTGTGGGTAAGAGCTAAGGGGATTCTACCCAGGCTAACAGACAGGGATCCTAGAGAGTTGGAGGCATGGTGGTAGGAGGGACTAACTGAAAATCTGTTCAAGTAAGACAAATAATAATGTGGAGAGATAGGGATGAAAGGGCTAGAAGGGACCTGAGGTCTGTACCAAGTGTTGTAGTCTCTAGGGAATGGAGTCCAGGTGGGAAGAGCAGCAGTGCAAGCTCCTGCTTCATTGCTGGGGTGAGACTGGAGAGGTTGGAATAGAGGATATGAAGGAGGGTGAAAATTGCCTACCTGAATTCCAGTCCAGTGTGACTATTAGGGTTCCCAGGTAGAATGCTTCTAAGAAACTTTGGCTGGCACAAAGGAATGAGAATGGGCTATAAGTGAGGGATTATATGGTCTCCAGGAAGAAAAACTAGGTCTGCTCTTAGTTTCTGTGGAGTCATCTGAGAACGAAGGAAGTGTGTGGGGGAAAGGGGAACCTAGAAGCACACTGCTATTGGGCTTGCATGAGACTGGAAAAATCCTAAAAGAAGAAATGATGGAGAGTAAAAATAGCTTACTTTGGCCCCAGCCCACTGTGGCTACTGGGGTCCCAATTAGAAAGGAGCCAGATGGGTCAAGGGTACTACAAGAAAACCCACAGAATCAACTAACCTGGGTTCATAGGTGCTCACATAGACTGAAGCAAAAACCAGGAAACCTGCATGAGACTGACCTAGGTCTTCTGTATATATGCCACAGTTGTATAGCTTAGTCTTCTTGTGGGACTCCTAACAGTGGGAGCAGGGGCTGTCTCTGATTCTGTTGCCTGCCGTTGGGACCTATTCCTCCTCCTGGATTGCCTCATCTAGCATTAATAGAAGAGGGGGTGTGTAGTCTCTCTGAAACTTGATATGCAATGGCTGGCTGATATCCATGGGAGTCTCAACTGTGTCTGAAGAGAAACAGAGGAGGAGAAGTAGATCGGGGAAGGACAAATGGGAGGCAGGAACTGGGAGGAAAGGAAGGGAGGGAAACTTTGGTTGGGGTGAAAAAACAAACAAACTAAGCCAAAACAACAACGAAAAAGTGTGTGTTTCTAGGAATCAGTGGCTGACACAAAGGAATGGGAGTGGGCTAGTAGGGAGGGGTGAGAAGGTCCACAGGAAGGAGGAAAGTTGGGTTGACACCTAGGTTCTTTTGAATCACCAGAGAATGGAGGCCCAACTTTTTGTTTTTCTCTCTCTTACTCATACATACATTTGTATGTATACATATATATGATATCTATCTCTATATCTATAGAGATAGATAGACAGACAGACAGACAGATAGATGAATTTTGTGCCTGGGAATAATATGGTTATATGTACATGCATTTGAAAAATGTTACTCTATACTCACCTGGCAGAGAAGACACCATGATCACACAGGTGGTTTTTCCAGGGCAAGGTTCACCCATTGCACTCAGGGTGTGCTGACCCTTGCAATTTCCCCAAATGCAGGAAATTTGACTTCATAATTTATCGTAGAAGGGGACCACATTCACCCTCTCCCCCGAAAAACATGTAATTCTGGCCACTCTGCAAAATAGACTATAGAGATCCAAGTCTGAGTCCTATTAATCAAAGCTCACGTTAGACCAGATGAGAAATTGTGATGAATCTGTCTAGTTATGAATATGATAGTTTTGAAATACATGTGGAAAGAAGAGCCAAGAGGACTTGGTGATTGATTGATATGTACTGTAAGGAACAGTGGTAATGGCCTAGGCATACATTTTATATCATGAGTGTGAACTAGTGAAGACAAATATCCACAGCATAATAAAGACAATCAACACCTCTGTGATTCAAGGACCAGATTACATTTGAATGGTTAAAAGAAAATACATTTTATTAAGGGGAGTGTTCAAAACAAGGTTCAGGTGAAGCCCAAACCCCTCATTTAACAAATGAAGGAATTAACACAATGAACTATTCTACTTTGTAAATTAATCGTGTGTCTTGTACAAATGCTTTATCTCCCAAATTAGAACATAAGCTTCCAAGTATCATTACTTGTTTTGTAGACGTGTCTTCCTAATAGCATCTGATATAGGGACTGAGAATATAAGAAAAATTCAATAATTGCTTTCTTTCTTTCTTTTCTTTTCTTTTTTTTTTTTTGGTTTTTCGAGACAGGGTTTCTCTGTGTAGCTTTGCGCCTTTCCTGGAACTCACTTGGTAG